AAAACGAAAAAATTAATGCTACTTTTTTAAATTTTAAATTTAATTAAGTGAAAAATAATAATAAGCATTTTTAAATGGCAACTGCAGTTTAAAGTTAAAAAGGCTTTGTATTCAATTTTTTGGACTTATATTTTTAGCAATTAAATTATGCTTTGTTCTTATTTTATTGCAACTTAGGTAGAAAAAAGGCTTTATACCATATTTTATTCTAATTTAATCACTTAATTATGCTAAGTATAGCTAAGCAATTAATGCAAAGCAAGACTTATGCGCTTAAGACTCTGAGCAGTGTTTTTTCAATCACTTTTAACAGTATTACTTACGTTGAGAAGCAGCGAAAACGTATAATCATTGCCATTTCAGTTTGCATAAGTGAACATTTTATGAACAACTTTGTACAGAATTAATATCAAAATAGTGTCAAATAGCTTCTGATTTTCACGTTAAGATCATAATTACCGTTTTATGTGCTTGAGTTGATATTTAATATACTTGTGTTCATATTTTACTTTCAAGGTTAATACTGATTAATTTCAATAATTACATTAAATAATCACTTTAATAATTATATTTACTATTATCTGTGTTTAGTAATTAAATTCAAGAAGAATAATTTAGTAAGTATTAATGCACGATATTAATTATCAGTCATGAAATTTGACAAGAAAGTTATTTGATTTGTTTATCACTAATGTGAACTAATCAATTAATTAGTTACCTATTTAATTCTGTAATGCATAATTTAAATATATGAATCAAAAATAATAATGAAAAAATATAATAAATATTTTAGGCATAATAAAATTTTTTGTCGTAACTGATCAATAAGTATCAAATTAGAATTCAGTTATTCACGCTGCTTACGTAAATAATTTCAGCAAACAAAAATGCATTAAAGATTATCTCATAAAAAAATATTATTAGTCCGAATTATAATCTTTCAGCAGCATTTTATAACTAATTAGAGTGTGCTAAATTGTTGAAAGTTGTTCAAAAAATAATTTTCAATTATATGAACTGTATTAGCTAAAGAATCAGCTGGATGTCACTTTAGTCTTAGCTAAGTTCTTACTCACTCAGTTAGCAATTTCTGAATAACAACTATTCAGTATACTTCATTTCAGCTAATTATTTCCTCAGCTTTTCTTCTTTTCTGATTGACAAATGGCAAAAATTTTTGTCTTTGAAAATTAACTTACTACTTTTACTCATTACATCTCTGAACATTCTATTGACTTGTTCAATTTTGACTATCTAAAGTCATTTTTAGGCAAATATCACTTCTTTGCTTCCTCCTAAAATGCCAATTCATTGTGTAAATAAAAAAATAGCATTCATTTTTGAATGTTTATTGGCATGACTGAAGTAAAGATTCAAAAATTTTTGTCGTAGTCAATGGTAAGATCAAATTCTTATCATTACATGATAATGGTAATTAGTACTATACTTGATCTATACATATCTTACTTTTCATTTTATCACTCGTAACTTTGTTTTTGCTTTTTTAAGCCACAAAAAGGCGAAAAAATTATCAGGCAATAAATTTGCATAAAGATATTAAGTTTGTGATTACAGTTAACAAATTAATCAGACTGTCATTTTTTCCATTCTTTGATTTTTAGAAAGTTAATTGTCTAATATTATTTGTATTAATATTACTCTCATTTTGATAATATTATGCAAAGTTTAAGTTTGCTAAAAATAAGGAATAAACAATATTAGATGACATTTTTACTTTTTGATATCAGTCAATTATTACAGTAATCAAATGCATAAATTTTTCATTTAAATTTTGTCATTTTCAACTTTAAAAGTGTTATTAAATTCGATTGATAATAGCTAGGTTTTTGTTCAAAATAATCAGAAAAAATAAATTTAAGAAATCAGAAAATTGCAAATATTTTTTAGTTTGCCTTTGACCTTTTGATAAAATATAAAAAATTTTTAACAGCTTCATTTATAGACCGTACACGTAAGGTTAAATTTTCACTTCAATTTCGTGAATTGTAAAAAATAAATTAATAAATTGTAGAGAAAACTGTAAGGTGCAAGTTGTTAACTTACTTTTCTTTTAAGTGCTGCTTAATATTTGACGATAACAAAATTAAAATTTAATTTCAGCTTTGTGAGATAAAATACAAGTGTGTCAGTCTCAATTCTTAATTCTTAGAAATTCTAACTTTTAATTAAAAATGTATAAATATCTTACATGTGGTGAAAAATGCTAATTTTGGAATTTAAACAGTTTTTTCAAAGTTTTACTCATTTCAAAATTGAATCAATTATTGAATCCCTTGAGACTTAAGCTAGAATCTTAATTCGTAGTATTTTATCAAATGGATTATTTATCAAAGCTTCGATGACATTTTCTCACTTTCCAGAAAAAAGAATAATAAAAGACTTATCTTACTTTGCTTTACATTTATTATTTAATTTTTTTATTAAAGTATTTAATCTCGCTAGTACCGAACAATTTCAAGATAAGTTACTGAATTCGAAATTATTAGATATAACACACTTAAAAGATTAATTGTATTTAACACATATTTTTTAAAATTTCACATTTACACCATTTTTTAATATCATTTTAAGTTATTTTACTACAAGTCATGGATGCAATTAGTAAATCAGTATTTATGTTACTGTGTGAATAATTCATAGCCTAATTATGCTTGATATCATGGATTCTGCTACTGTACTTTTTGTTGCCCATACAATTTCTTTCAACTTATTTATTGAAATATTTCAGTTATTATGAACATTTTTTTAATTTTAAACTATAACATAAAATTCAATGTGATATTGAATACTTTATTATCATTATCGCTCTTCGCCCCATAAACAATTTATGAAAAATCTCAATAGTAATAAAAAAGTTATTACTATGTTTATCCATTTATTACGTATTTTTTCAGAAATCAAATTAAGTTATGTAGGCTTACTTTCGTGCTTTCATTTAAGTAGCAATAAAATGTTAATCTACATTTTAATTAAAAAATAAAGTCATTATTTTTAATATAAAATACCAAAGTTCTATTCATATGGTAGAAAAATCTCTTGCGTATTCAGTGTAATGTTAATTTAAGCGAAAGGAAATAAAAAAGTTTTTTATTTATATCAAATATTAACTTTGAAGAAAAATTATCTTCGGAAATATTATGGTTGCGATTTTGACTACATTTATACTTTGTGCGGTAGCATGCAGCAGATTGATTTATGCAAATGAAGGTAATTTGATGCTTATGATTGATCTTAATTAATTGTAATTTGATGTTTGTGCTTGATATTATTCACTTAATTAGATTGAAAATAATTAATGAAAACTTTTTGATCTAAATAATAATTTACAGAATGCATTTATTGACTATTTTCAAATTATAGAAAAGAAATTTTACTTTCTAGTAAAGTTTTTTTTTCTTAAAATAAAAAATTCACCAAAATACTGCTAAATTCATGTTTCTGTACAAAAAGTTTTTGAAAATGAGCCAAGTTTTGATCGCTAATTCAATAATATTCTATAATGGTGCTCAGAATTTGAACAAGAAGAAAGAAAGGGATATCCATCTTTGTTCAGTTTCCATGACAAACGAAGAAATTACGGTTTTTGCTTACTTATTGCTTTTTTTCTTAACTAAACTTTTAATTTAAGTATAATTTATGAATAATATTATTAAAAGTATTACAAAATATGTACATACATTAATATTATTTTGAAAATATTCTAATGATATTATTTTGACAAATTATGACAGAAATAGTATTTGCTTAAATACGAAGTTCAAAATTTGAATAAGAAGAAATTAATAAAATTATAAAACATTTGTAGAGCGATTTTAAAAATAATAAAATTATTTCTTAAAAAAGTAATTACTTTTGTTACTATTTTAAAAATATAAATTCTCAAAAAAAATATTGAAAAAAATGAAAAAAATTTCGAAAATGGTTGCTATGAAAGTTTGTCATAAAAATATGCAAATATTTTTAGTCGGAATGCCGTTGATGGGTGGCATATATGGCAAGCGGGCATTTATAGCCTTTCGCGGGGGATTTTACGGAAAACGTCGAATTCCCCCTCCATCTGGTGGATTTTATGGAAAACGATCAGTACCATCAGAAATTATACCAAACAACGGTTATTAAGAAACAAATCAGCATAATGTTTTTGCTTAAAAATTTAATAATAATAATAATAAAAATAATAATAAATAGTAATTTAAAAAATAATGGTAATAATTTACAATTTGAGAATATTTTAGTGATATTATTTTGTTAACGTTAACAATATAGTGCAGTTTTTATTTTATTTTTTTTAAAATTATCAATAGATTTTATTTTATTACAGATCTTGAATTTACTGAAATTCGATCGTGGCCAATGCCTAATAGCCAAGCATATCAATTACTTTCAACTCGTCAAAAACAATTAAATCAATTAAAAAGTGATATTAATGATAATAATAATAATAATAATCATTATTTAAATGATGATACATTTGATTTCCATCGAAGAATACCCAACTCTTTTTTCATGCTAATCAATGACAAAATCATCCCAGTAACTGATAAGATCAGCATTTTTAATAAATAAATTACATGAGAATCGTGTTTTATAAATATACTTTTGCAATATTCAAATTGCTTATCAAATTTTAGATGATCAAATATTGATTATCAATTTGAAATTGATTGGATTTTAGAATAATTTTACTAAATGAAATTAATATTAATTGGTGCTTAAATATCCCCTTTCACTGATCAAACTTTTATTTATTTAATTATATTATTCAATACTACACTTTGTGCTATAATAATCAAAGTTTTTAATTGTAGTAATAAAAAACTGATAAAAGTTTGGTCTTATAAGAACTATGTATCCATCAGTGTAATACTGTAACTTTGACTAACAAAAACCATTCTTAAAACATTTCGACGTGGCAAAGTATTATTTATACAAATGTTATTTTTAATTAGTGAAGTGAAGTTAATGGTTTAATAAATAAAGAATTCATTGCATTGCTTTAAATTCATTTGATTCTTCATGGGATTTCAAGCCCTTAAAAATATTTAAATTTCAGTTAGCGGATTAATTTTCTATAATATATAATTTGAGATATGATCAAAAATTTTCCGGATAAAAAATTTTCTGACTTAAAATACAGTACTGATCGACTATATATAATCAATGATGATATTCGTCTATACTTTTGTGTTAGAAATTATTTGTATTGCGCAGATATAAACTTTAGTTTCAATTTTGATTCATTAATTGTACAGATTGAATTTTTTTAGAGCAATTAAATCAACAAATTTTTTCTAAGATTTTTCATTGATCAGTCTCTAAGACTAATCAATAAAAAAATTCGAGTCGAACAAATTAAAGATAAAGTTAATTTATAAATTTTACAAATAGAAATGACAAAAGAACGCAATTTGTTATTGTCAGTTGTGTAAACAAATTTACTATAATGTTTGCATAAAATGATAATTTGGTAGATTTTAGTGATTTTTATAAACTTTTGTAAATTTATTAACAGTCATTCTACATTTTCGAATTTAAGTGATGCAGCGGTACGAAGAATTAGTACTGTTTCTGTTTGTAGTAACGTGTAATTTAACAGGTTTCTATTTCAAATTTGACTTAATAGAAAAAAAAACGAATTAAAAAAATATCTAAGTTTTCAAATCTGTTTATTATCTAATAAAATCATTTCAAATTAAGTAAGTCAAGTCTTTTAAATAAATTAATTACCTTTGCACCAAATTAAACGTTTTATTGCATAGTGAAGCGAATAAATTTTTGAGTCTCAAAAAATAATTTTTAATCAAAAGTTTGTAATTTCTAAAAGTTATTTCAACTTCAAGCCGGAAAGCATTGTCCACAATTAACAGAGAAGGTTGGAAAGAATTGTGCGCTTATTAAGGTTCATTTATTTTCACTCTTCAAAAAATATCTTTACAAATAAAAAATATCAATTTCAAAATTGACAAAGTATTAATTATTCTTGTGATTATTTGAGTTTATTTTTAAATACCAATCAAGATTACTGATATTATTCGATTAAAAGCAACAAAAAGAAGATTGCAATTAAAATTTTTAATTTTAGTTAAAATATAAAATCGAATATTGCTTTTAATACTTTGTAATTTTTAAAAAAATGAAAATAAATAAAATTTTAGAGTATATTTCCACATGAAATAATTTATGAACAATTTTGCAAAAGAGTTTATTTTGGTGTAATGCAGAATACTTCTGAAGGAAGATTGTGTCGTCTAAGTACCATACAGACAAGACGTAACTGATTTATAATTAGCTTATTTTAATATTTTATATTGTATTCAGTACAAAAGCTTGAGTGATAATGAAAATCAAAATAGCAAATTTGATCAAAAAAACCGTCGAATGATTTTTTTTGCTGATCAGAATGAAGTTACTTTTTGATACAAAAAATTTGCATTTGTTATAATTTAACTATCTGAAAGAAATTCAGAGAGAAAAAAGAGTTCATTACTTATGCTTTTATAAGTTAGCTACGATCTGTGCACACGAAAGTCTAACAAATTTTTACAAAAGTTTAACTAATAATTTTTAACTAAAATTTTTTGCTAATTAGTTAATAAAAAATATTTTAAATGCTAAATTTCTGACAGTAAATTATTAAATCTTCAACGTTCCTTATTATTTTTATCAATTTTCAACAATTTATAGATGATGTGAAGTGCGGAGACGGATGGATTGAGTTTTATGAAGGATTTAATCAGTTCTGCTATAAAGCGGTTGAACTATTTTCTGTTGCTTATCTTTTCAAATATTTTTTGCATTTAAAAAAACAACTAATACAAAAATTATTTTTATTTTTGTATCATTTATCATATTTTATTGATAAATGTAAGCTAATTTTAATGGCAAAATGCAACTTAAAATAAATTTTCGTAGAAAAAGGTTGAAAAATTAAAATTTGTAATTAAGCCTTTCATTGTACTACTGAAAATATGAATTTTTGTTGGCATAAAAAATAGAAAATTAAGACTTTAATATTTATCATTATAGTTAATTTTTTCTTTATAATAGCCTTAATAAGTGTTCGCAAGCTCTGATGTAAAATGTCACCAAATATACAGCTATCAAAAGTTGCTATTTGGGGAAAAAGTTCTTAAAAATACAAAAAATTGCTAAAAAACAAAAAAATGAAGAAGTTGAACAAAAAAAGCAAAAAGTAGAAATAATTTTCATTGTACATATTGAAGTAATTTGCATAATATGCAAAAAAAAATGATTTTTAATAACAAACTTATCATTTTACTGACAGACAGACGAGTAAGTGAATATTATGCCAGTAAATTACTTAGACGACCAATAAGCAATCATATTTTGACATACTTTTGATAAGTTCTAAATACAATTATTTTTACTTGTTTCAATAACATCAATTTTTTACTAATTAAAAAGTTTGTTTAACGCATAAATACTACTACTTTATCATTTCGTTATTACTTAATATTAAGTATAATTCAATTTTGTTATCACTTAATACTAAGCACAATTCAGCTGTGATTTGTTTGTAAACAAATTTAAAGCAAAATTTCCAAGTACTTCTCTTGCCTTTATTCTTTTTGCTTATTTCAGGTAGATTTTGTAATGATTTAAATTTGTATTTCGTTTTAGTTCCATACAGATTTCTCAGTTTCTACTGGTACTGACATATCGTACCGAAGAAACGGTGACCCTTGCAGAAATCATGATGATAAAGCAAGTCTTGTACGAATACCGAATCAAAATATCAACATGTTCTTATATGGTTTGTGTTTACCTGTGAACGAAATATGCAAATTTCATTGAAAATGAAACATTAATTTATGAGCTTTTATTTTTGGTATATTTATTAAATTAATAAATGACATTCTAAAAATATAATTAATAAAATCAGTCAGGAAAATGTTTAAACAAAATAAAGATAAAATTTTTTAAATGAAGAAAAAAATTAATTTTATCAAATTTATAGTGTGAAAAAAGCTTGAAAGGATTTTTTTAACGTGAAAATTTTTAGTGAGAGTTTTAAATGGGACAAATCCACTGAGGTGCAATTTGGAAAATGAAAATACTTTTTATTATTACATCGGTTTAGAAAGGTATAAAATTTAGTTATAACTGACTAAAAAAGTTTTATAAGCAAATATGATTAACTTTTTGAAATTATGCTACAATTAAGCAAAATTTAGTATATTACTCGATAAAATTCAC